GATAGATAGATAGATAGATAGATAGATAGATAGATGATAGATAGATAGATAGATAGATGATAGATAGATAGATAGATAGATAGATAGATAGATAGATAGATAGATATATGATAGATAGATAGATAGATAGATAGATAGATAGATGATAGATAGATAGATAGATAGATAGATAGATAGATGATAGATAGATAGATAGATAGATAGATAGATGATAGATAGATAGATAGATAGATAGATAGATGATAGATAGATAGATAGATAGATAGATAGATAGATAGATGATAGATAGATAGATAGATAGATAGATAGATGATAGATAGATAGATAGATAGATAGATAGATAGATAGATAGATAGATAGATAGATAGATAGATTGTTCGATGGATGGATGGATGGATTTTTGATACTGTGACTGAGAAGACCGCATGGACCCTTCTGCGGTGCGCCCCCACAGATCAAGCTCCCCTTGTGGGAACTCTCTCTTTGCCTTGCAAGTCAAGATTCCTTGGCCATCCCATCCTGGCCTTGACACGCTTTGCCCTGGAGATCTCACTTACTGCTCTGCTGGGATATATCCATCCACGAAGGGAACGCACTCCACGCCCGCAACTTTGACATGGGATGCGATGTCCCAGAACTTCAGACCTAGGTTTTCTCCTCGGATGGTCACTCTCGTCCCTCCTTCACGAGGTCCTCTCACTGGACTTATCTAAGAAAAGAAAGATCTGGTTAGGGAGGCTTCCAAAAGATGAAAAGAAAACCAAAACCACCTCTTGCTTCCTTTGTGTGTGTGTGTGTGTGTGTGTGTGTGCGTGTGTGCAATGATCCTGACCTTTCTTCTCCAAATATCCCATCCTGGTTTACAAGTGGTCCTCGACTTACAACCGTCCGTTTAGCCACCACTCAAAGTTACAACAGCAGTGAGAAAAGGGACGGGGGACTGTTTTTCCACCCTTAACGACTGGGGCAGCATCTCCTTGGTCACGTGATCAAAATTCAGAGACTCGGCAACTGGTTCGGGTTTATGACGGTTGTCGTTTCCCCTTTTGCGACCTTCTGACAAGCAAAGTCAAGCGGGACTCTTTCCAGAGTCTCCACATCTTTTTAATATGGTGGCAACCAAAACTGACAATATATAAAACAGATGTTGAGACCCTGGAAAGAGTGCAGAGAAGAGAAACAAAGATGATCAGGGGACTGGAGGCTAAAACATACAAGGAACGGTTGCTGGAACTGGGGATGTCTAATTTAATGAAGAGAAGGACGAGGGGGTGACATGATAGCAGTCTTCCAATATCTCAGGGGCTGCCCCAAAGAAGAGGGAGTCAAGCTATTCTCCAAAGCGCCTGAAGGCGGGACAAGAAGCAACGGATGGAAACTAACCTAGGAGAGAAGCAACCTAGAGAACTAAGGAGAAATTTCCTGACAGGGAGAACAATTAACCAGTGGAACAGCTTGCCACCAGAACTTGAGACTCTAGAAAGAGTACAGAGAAGAGCAATAAGGACGATTAGGGGACCGGAGGCTAAAACATATAAGAAACAGTTGTTGGAATTGGGTATGTCCAATTTAATGAAGAGAAGGACAAGGGGGGACATGATAGCAGTCTTCCAGTATCTCAGCGGCTGCCCCAAAGAAGAGGGAGTCAAGCTATTCTCCAAAGTGCCCGAAGGCAGGACAAGAAGCAACGGATGGAAACTCATAAAGGAGAGAAGCAACCTGGAATTAAGGAGGAATTTCCTGACAGTTAGAACAATTAACCAGTGGAACAACCTGCCTCCAGAAGTGGTGAATGCTCCAACACTGGAAATCTTTAAGAAGAGACTGGACAGCCATTTGTCCGAAATGGTACAGGGTTTCCTCCCTGAGCAGGGGGTTGGACTACATGACCTCCAAGGTCCCTTTTAATTCTGCTATTCTGTTATTCTGTGATGTCTAATTCTTTCAAGATAAGGCGCATTCTCTCTTTCCTAATCCCTTTGCAAAATGTCATTTCAGATTTACAAAGGCGGGCCTTCCACCTCCCAAAGTTGCCTATTTGAGGGAACAACAGACGCATTCTTGGAACATTCACAAGCTCTGGAGCAGTGTTTCTCAACCTTGACAATTTTAAGGCATGTGGACTTCAACTCCCAGAATTCCACAGCCAGCATTGCTGGCTGTGGAATTCTGGGAGTTGAAGTCCACATGCCTTAAAATTGTCAAGGTTGAGAAACACTGCTCTGGAGTAAAGCTGTTCCATTGTAATTGTTCTGATGGTCAGAAATATTTCTCATTATTTCTAGGTTGCATCTCTCCTTGATTAGTTTCCATCCGTTGTTTCTTGTCCTGCCTTCAGGGGCTTTGGAGAACAGCTTGACTCCCTCTTCTTTGGGGCAGATCCTGAGAGATTGGAAGACTGCTATCATGGTCCCCCCCTAGTCCTTCTCTTCATTAAACTAGACATACCCAATTCCAGCAACCGTTCCTTGTATGTTTTAGCCTCCAGCCCCCTGATCATCTTTGTTGCTCTTCTCTGCCCTCTTTCTGCAGTCTCAACATCTTTTTTATATTAGGGCAAACAAAACTGGATGCGATGATCCAAGTGTGGTCTTATCGAAGCATTATAATGCTTTTTTGTTCCCGGCACACCCCTTTGGGTGGAGGGTGTACTGGGCCATATTGTCTTTTTGGGATCAATGACATCTCTGTCTCCCCTCACCCCCATGATATGGGTGTGCCATTGTAGTGAATGGTCACTAAACAAATGTGATAAGTCGAGGACTACGTGTGCTAGATCAGGAATATTTAAAAAAAATGCACCGATTAGTCAGTGGGCCTGTGAAAATAGGTAGACGTTGCTCCACTGGCGAGGAAGACGCGAGACCGCATGGCTGGAACCAAGTCCCAGATTTATGAACCGTAAAGAACCGCAGCGAGCACATATCGAACAATAAGGAAATGTACAGGCACGGAGAACATGACTAATTGACCACATTTTTTCCCAACTGTTGAGCAGAAACATCTGGCTCAAGGCTCTCAGTCATACTTATGTCCCCATCAAGCGATCCATTCCCTTGTGTGAGTAATGCTTTGTGTAGCACAGAGATGGAGGAAGGAACAGCATGCTAAACAAATCTGCAAGACATGAGAGGATAGGATAGGATAGGATAGGATAGGATAGGATAGGATAGGGAAGAGGAGAGGAGAGGAGAGGAGAGAAGAAGAGAAGAGAAGAGAAGAGAAGAGAAGAGAAGAGAAGAGAAGAGAAGAGAAAAGAGAAGAGAAGAGAAGAGAAGAGAGAATAGAGAATAGAAGAGAATAGAAGAGAAGAGAAGAGAAGAGAAGAGAAGAGAAGAGAGAATAGAATAAAATAGAAGAGAAGATAGAATAGAATAGAATAGAATAGAATAGAATAGAATAGGGAATAGGGAATAGGGAATAGGGAATAGGGAATAGAATAGAATAGAATAGAATAGAATAG